GGCGGCGGGTGGGCACCCAGCCTCTCAGGTCAGGAGGCGCGGCCCGAACAGGCCACCTTCCTCCAGCGTTCCTGTCCCCAAGCACACAGGACAGACTCGGAGGGGAGGCAACACTTCGTCTTTTATGGTTTTTTTTTTAAAACCAAATGGCATCTGAACAGACTTGACAACATATGGGGAGGGAAGGCGAGGGTTAAGGGCACGTGTGGATGGACAGGAGAATCTCAGCCGGACCCAGGCAGCTGGTGGGAGAGCTTTTATTTGTGTATTTTCCTGTTTTAGTACGTGGTGGTGGCTGTTTTCCCCTCGGCGTTTTGAAGTATCTCCCTAAAGTCTGAGCCCACTCAGGAGAGAGCGGTTAGTTGCTTCCGATCCGTTTCTCCCTCCAAACAAGCAGGGAGCTGACAACCCACGGGAGGAAACAAAGCAAAACCAAGGATAACAAACAAACAAGCACAGAGAAGCAACCCCGTGGCCGCAGACCATGTCAGGTAAAAACCATAGAAAAATACGATTAATTCCGGGAGGCTAACCTCGAGCGCAGCTGCAGCGGACTGCGCCGCTCAGGGTTGGCAGAGGAGCAGGCGGCGGAGGGAGACTGTCGGGCATTGTGCTCTGGGGTGCCCATGGCGTGGCTACTCAGACAGCACGTGTGCCTGGGCGGGTGGGCATGCCAGGCGGGTGGGGCTCTATGCCGCCTCCAGACGCGCCAACATGGCCAACTTCTTCTCTGCCCTCGTCCTGACCTGGTTCCTGGGGCGCCTGGGACGCACCTGCCGCGGTGTGGCCAGCAGGAGGCATGCGTGAGGGTCCCGGGCTCCTGGGGGCGCGCGGGAGGGAGGAGGCATCTCCCCTCGGGAAGGAGCTGGTTTCGGAAGCAGCACTGCCTTCAGGGCCCCAGACGCACGTGCTACGGAAGGGAGACGCACCGCCCCACCCAGCGCCTCGGGAGCGGGGGCGGGGTCCCCGTCCAACCCTGGTCCAGGGAGAACCACACTGCGGGGGGCTGCCGGGCGCTCAGTCCTCCTCCTCCTCCTCCTCCTTCGCCGGGGCCGTGGGCGGTTTGTCCTCGACCCTGAAGCATTCCGCGAAGAAGTTGACGATGGCGCCGTAGAGGTGCCGCTGGAGGCGCTCGCTGTGGAAGTAATGGCTTTCGTCCGGGTAGATCTGCAAAGAGGGCGGGAAGTGAGCGGCTGCGCACCCTCCCCGGGGAGGGCGGCCGCAGGCGAGGTGCAGCCTCACACAGCGGGCGCCTGCAAGTGAGTGTCCTACCCGATTCAGTGCCTCCTCCCCCGGAGGCCCAGCCAGACGCAGGGGCACCTGGCGGCGACCGAGTAGGAGGACCTTTGTTCAGCGGACTCAGCCCGGTCTGGAACCTGCAGCATGAATCCATGCGCAGGACCGGCGCAGGGGCCGCAGCTGGGACGCCGACCGGGTTCTCTGCAACCGAGTTACAGCTTTCTCTCTCTAGCTTTCCTGGGCCGCCATCTGCCTAGGCCTCCTGGCTCACACTCCCCGCGCGGCCGTGGGCAGGGAAGTTCCCGGTTGTGTCAAGTGGAGATGCACCAGATAGAATCGAGCTGTAAAGTTGCACGGGACTTAAACCGGGAGCACTCAGCACAAGGCCTGGACCGTGGGAACGCAAGAATGCTGGCAGCGAGTCTATTGCCAGGTGTAATGATACCTCCCGTGCCCTAGGGGCGCTGCGCCACTTCCACAGAAAGGTACCTGTCCCAATGGGGTTCAAAGCCGAGCTAACAGCCCCGGAAACCCCGCTCTTTCCACACACCTGTGTTTGGGATGTGTCTGTGAAGGGTGACATTCACTTCATTTTAGAGTATTTTTTAATGCTGTCGCTGAGCTATTATGTAGGGTGCCCCAAATGTATACACACACTGTGAATAATTATAAAGGCGGTGTTCATGAAAATAGATTTCATTTTCAAAATTGAGCTACCAGCTGTTAAAGTGTGTATGCATATTTTGGGGACACCTGTATGTGTGTTAAACTTCAAGCAGCACAAGAGGGAAAAGAAACTTGTAGGAAGTGTGGCCCCTCCTGCCAGGGGCCCAGCACC